AGGGTTGAGGGTTTAAAGGGTTCAGGTTCCTCAAGGCCCTAAGGGGTATATAGCCCCATAAGGAAGACTCAAGTAAAAATCGAGTGTAAATAACTTGGGGAGTGGGCATATCCTAGGGCACGGGCTTTGCAATTACAACCGTGGAAAAAATCATCAATGATTAAAAAGATGCGAACAGTATTAACAACAACATTACAATATGGAAAGCAATATCAGGACACACATTAATGATAATGTTGTGAATAGTGTTTTGGCGGCTTAGAAATTAGGGTCTAGATTCGCATGTTTCACTGTTTGGGTGCCAGGTGGAGAGTTTGGTGGCTACCTTGTTCGGTTTAGGGTTCAGGGTCTACGGAGTTTAGGCTCTAGGGTTGAGGTTCTAGGGTTTAGGGTCTGGAGTTTAGGGTCTAGGGTTTAGGGTCTAGGGTTTAGGGTCTAGGGTTTAGGGTCTGAAGTTTAGGGTCTAGGGTCTAGGGTTTAAGGTCTAAGGTTTAGGGTGTACCTAGACCCCAAGAGTAAATACAACGATGGCCCACAACTCCTGAAAAAAAACAGCCTAGAAGGCAAATATTCCACTTACTTTTGGGGTTCAGGTTTCAGGGTGGAAATATTGTTCAAGTTATGGAATGTGATTACTTGTCTTCCGTATTGGGTATGCTAGCGCTGCCGAGCCAGCCTTTTACACCCAACCCAAAGGGTCCATGTACCCAAGAATTAAGTACTTGGGTTTTGGGTAATAGTAATTCTAGTACTGGTTTTGGGTAAGTATATGATTATTAGGTACTTGGACCCTTAGGGCAATCAAGAATGCAGTGGTAACCCACAAGACTGCAGGTAATTGAATGGGGGATACTTGGAGGGTCAGGGGGACTTAGTAAGTAGGTTAACATTGGAGATAATTGGGGTTACTATACGGCTTGTAGGGGTTATAAGTATAATTACTCAAGTACCCCATGACCCTCCAAGTACAAGGCGATTGTCAAGTCCTCCGAACCGCCCTTTGCCCAGTGATCTTTCGAGCCTTTGCCCTCAGCAACTTTGCGACATCACCGTGGCCCCGCTCTTCTGCAAACATGAGGGCCGTGTTGCCAGAGCGACTCTCCAAGTCCTTGTCAGCACCGGCTTCCAGAAGCGACCGTGCGATCTCCACCCAACCATTCCTAGCTGCGAGCATGAGGGCTGTGTACCCGTCATTACGCTGCAGGTCTTTTTTAGCACCAGCGTCCAAAAGCAGCCGTGTGATATCCACGTGGCCATTCTTAGCTGCAACCATGAGGGCTGTGTAGCCAAAAAAACCCTCCAGCTCCAGATCTTTGTCAGCACCAATGGCCAAAAGCAACTGTGCAACCTCGCCCCCGCGACTTTTCAGGTCCTTGTCAGCGCCAGTGTCCAAAAGCAACCGTGCGACCTCCACGCGGCCGTTGGCAGCCGCCAACATGAGGGGTGTAAAGCCAGCGCAGCTCTCAATGCTGTGGTCAGCACCAGCCTGCAAAAGCAGCTGTGCGATCTCCACATGGCCCTTCTCAGCTGCACACATGAGGGCTGTGTGGTCCGAGCGACCCTGCAGGTCCTTGTCAGTACCGGCGTCCAGAAGCAGCCGCGTGATCTCCACGTGGCCTTCCTCAGCTGCCAGCATGAGGGCTGTGGTGCCATTGTCAGTGAGCACGTCTCTGTCCGCACCTGCTTCCAAAAGCAGCCTCGCGATTTCAACGTGGGATTTCTCAGCTGCCAGCATGAGGGCTGTGCAGCCGTCCCGACCCCGCAGGTCCTTGTCAGCACCGGCGTCCAGAAGCAGCCGTGCAATCTCCACGTGACCATTCCGAGCTGTGAGCGTGAGGGCTGTGTCGCCCTTGTGATTGTGATTTAGAAGGTTCTTGTCGGCGTCGGCTTCCAAAAGCAGCCGTGCAACCTTCAGGTCGCCCTGCTCGCAAGCTTCGGCAAGCTCTTTTGCAGCCTCAACCTGCTGCGCCTTGGTGGAGAGGGCCAGGAGAATTAATTGCAAGTCGAGGGGGGCATCTAGCTTCATGGAATTGTCCAAGCTGTTGCCATTGTGCAGCAACTGTTGCATGCACATCGGGAAGCCATGAAGACTACGCAGTGAAGCCTTCAAATCAAGCACATCTGAAATCTTCTCCATGTTAACTGCAGGCAGCTCCTGCCCGGACATCTGCCATATGCGAAGCATTCTGGCAAGAAGGCTAAAGACCAGCGCTACGAAGTTGGAGAAGTGTAAGCTGCATCTATGTTTGTGCGCTTCTGGTTCTACGACGCATGAACAACCATGAAAACAAGTGCATCGCCGGCATGACTCTCACGCTCTGTTGATGCACTACACATGTACGCTTTGCGTGACAGGGGGAAGTGGAGGACGTGCTAGTACTGTGACACCCTCAACCCTGGTCCCTGAAGCAAAGGGGGCTGACAACAGCAGGCTCTCAAACAAGTATTATCGCATGATAATACCATAAACTCCCTATCATGCAAAGAATGTTTTTGCACAATGTGTAGTACAACTAGTAAGGGAATACCAACAAAGTGGGATCCAGCACAAAAGCTGCGGCAAAACGAAAGGTCGTTGCACTAGCACATCCTTGTAAACATCAAGCTCAGCTATGGCTGCTGTGAGCTCTAGGTGGGGCTAATCATTGGATCGCACATATGATTCAATCTTTCATTACCAATATTACATATAGGGGATCATGGAAAACGGACACTACTATAGTATATTGGGGCTTTATTGGGGTAATACTAAATAATGTATTTCATAGAGACGTTTCTCAAGCCCCATAAACCTTGAGGATACAGGTACAAACAGGGCTTGAGGTCTCGGATTACGATGTCAGGCTTACGGGTTGGCGGGTAGGGCTTCCCAAAGCCGAGGCTTGCTTACATCTCTACAAAAGGGATCTAGAAATATATGGGCCTGTAGGGTTCAGCCTGCATTTCGAAGTCTTGGTTACAAACAGCTTACTGTTCACAGCTTCGGGGTGTAGGTTTTCGGGTCTACCTAGATGGAGTAACCTAGACCCTTAAAAGGTAGAGATACCATTCCCTAAACCTAAGCCCTAAACACTAAACCAAATAGGTACAAGCAACCTTTGTACAGGGGCGTTGGTTACGCAAGGTGTGCTCTGGGCTTCAGGCTGCGTAGTTTCGGCTTGAGGGTTTGGGGTTTTGGATATCAAGGTTCAGGGTTTGGCCCTTGGAGTTTAGGAGTTGTACCTTGGGGCTTAGGATGAAGATGTTTAGGGCCTGGGGTTGAGACCATGAGGCGTAGTGTGGGGGGTTGATGGTGCCATGTGGGATTTATGGTTCAAGGACTAGGTATCGGGACGGATGGTTTGAGTTTACAGTTAGCTTTGGTTTTGGAGCTATGGCTTTGGTTTAAGCATTGTTCTCCAAGGTTTAGTCGTATCCACTCAAGAATTGCTTGGGAGGGTGCTAATTAGTATCTTAGATGCTCTTTGAGAGAAACGTGTCTTCCCTTGCCACTCGGCCCAGACGATTCAAAGTCACCCCTCGCCGCCACAACCCCCACCCATACCCCTGTTCATACACATGAGATATAGTAGTTAGTAGAAGGGCATATGATACTCCCCTGAAGAATCACCTATGCAACCCATAAGAAGTTTAGACTATATGCTCACATGTGCATACTAGAGGGACGTGGGGCTTCGTTATGTGAGACCGGAGGCCGGATGAAATGGATCGCCAGAAAGGTAGGGTTTAGAGCTTGGTTTTCCTAAACCCTAAACCCTAGGGTTTAGGGTTTAGAGCCAGATGAACCATGCAAAGAACCAGAACGGAGGTAAGCTTTGCAGCAAAGCGGACGGCCCAAGCATAACAACCGGAGTGCGGTTATGAAGCTATCTGAAACAGGAGTTTTATATGCCACCGACTCCCATTTCTCTCTGTGTTGAGCGTATGATAGCAGTTCGAAATATAGTGGGACACCCCTTATTTGAGAAATGCACATCAACTGCACATACGTCAACATTTGGTAGTTCCCCGGCCCAACATACCGTAGTCCCTACTATGGGAACCCCCAAAGAGGTACCCCCAAACCCGAATCCTGTTGGGAAAGTCCCATTTCGAGCCCCTCGAACCATGGCAGAAGAGCAGCTGAAGTCCCTTCTTCTTCTCCTGGATTTAGGGTTTAGGGGTTTAGGATTAGGGGGTTATGGTTTAGGGTTTTGGGTTTAGGCATCCTCAAACTGCTTGGGCGATAGCCATTGCGCAGTTCAAGCCACAAAAACCATGACGCATCTAAGTCTTCAAAAAACTCGCTACCTGTTAGCAGTGTGGCTCATTCAACCAACATATTCTTTGGAAGTTCAGAATATCCTGCGTCGAGTAATCCTTAATCAAACACTTGTGTGGCCTTGAGCTCTTCTTGTCTCAGTTCCGAGTTTATACATATCAATAAACCCTGAACCCTAAACCCTGAACCCTATCAAGAGGCTTCTTGAGGCTCTGGAGGGAAGGAAGCAGGAGCACTTAGTACGTGGATGTTTTCCAGGGTCCCTTTCTGGGGAAAGTAGGGGTACCTTTGGGGGATATAGGGGTTATATAGGGTTATATATGGTTATATAGGGTTTAGGGTTTCCCAAAATTAGGGGTCACTTTCAAGGGGTCGTACAATAAGGATTATAAGATTTTAGTGTCTATACTGGGGTACCCCTCTTTGGTAAACTACCATGGGACCCGGTAATGACCTGATCGGACTTGAATGGAGAAGCAAATCGGAAATGACATGTCAACTGCAATGGAAAATGGAAAGAAATAGCAGTTTCCCCAAAAAGGGGACCCCAATATAGACCCCAATATACTATAACCCTTATGACGGGGACCCCCAAAAAGGTACCCCTAATTTTGGGAAACTCCCATATAGGGGTTGTGGAAGGGGTTCTGTACTGCAAGGGCCTCAGGATCATTTTGAGATCTATTTGGGGTAGCCCATGCCATACTTGTACGGGGAATCAAGGACCACAGTATTGCTAATTATTTAGGGTTTAGGGTTTAGTCCGTATAATCCTCTATCTCATCCAATTTCTATTTAACATTCCATCATATTTTCCACCTGAATCTTCATGTTAAGGCATTGTTACCGCCCCTACCACCACCCCGCTGTCAGCTGTCGACTTGTCGACTTAATGGGCAGCTGATGATGAGGCGCTGCCACAGGTTATGGCTGAGGGCTAACCCAGAGGGTCCAAGTACCTAATAATTAGGTACTTGGGTTTTGGGTAATAGTAATTATCGTATAAGTTTTGGGTAAGTATATGGGTGGTTGTCAAAATTATGGTCCTTTTTTGGGTCCCTATTATAATACGCCTAATATTCAGGGTACCCCAAAAAAGGGCCATAATTTTGACAACCACCCATATGATTATTGGGTACTTGGACCCTTAGGGTTTAGGGCTTAGGGGTTCAGGATCAAAGCTTGTACCGCCGCCATGGTCAGCTCTTAACTTCAATCTAGCCTCTGGCTGTACAAATGGTAGGGTTTAGGGTTTAGGGTTTGGGGTTTATAGTAGTTTCTATTTTCTTTGACAGTATCCCCATATAGTATGCATACATAAGCCTTACACACTCTGAGCCAGGAGCCCGAGTCCCAAACCCAAAGCCCCAAATCCTGAATCCCAAGCTTTGAAGCCCAAGCCCATAGACCTACAGGATAGACCCGCAAATCCTCAAAGCTAAGCCCTAAACTTAAATTAAACCCTACATAAAAGTCCAGGGTTTAGGGGGCTTAAAAGCCTCTACTCTCAACCTCAAAGCGCTAAACCCCGAAACACTTCACCCTAGCCCTCAACTCCTTGCTCCAAACCCTAAATCCCAAACGCTCAGCCCTAAACCCCAACGCCAAGCCCTGAAGCCTATAGTCCCCCTTAAGTAGATAGAATATGGCCTTTATTTTTTTATAGTAAGATCCCCATATACCCCATATTCTACCTACTTAAGGGGGGGTTATAAACTCCTGAACCCTCAACTTTGGCCCCAAAAGCACAAGCTGAATCTGGGTTGCTGTTAAGGGACTGAACTTAAGTTGCTCTATTGGGGAAACCCTATTGATTAACATATATACCATTCTGATAAGTTAGTTCAAGTTCCTTAAGCCCCACAATTTTTCAAGTTTCCATGTCCTGTGTTCTTTTGAAAACCCTAAACCCTTAAACCCAGGAATCTCCCGGCCTCCTGCGTCAGGACTTCTGCCTGCTGTAAAAGGCCAACGCTGGCGCCGCCTGAAAACGCATTCATGGGGGCTGGGCTCAAGAACGGGGGATTCCCTAACCCTAAACCCCTAAACCC